CTCCACTGTCGCTACAAGCATGCTTAATGTGAGGAATTGTATTTGAGTCAATGCAATCAAGTGGTTTTCCTTAGGTAGAAAACTTTGAATCAATTTGACTGTATGATCTGGTTGAATTGTAAAATTCCTTGAGATAACGTGTGTTGTGAATTGACGCTATATAAATAAACTGAATTGAAATCAAGCATCTATTATGTTTTGTTTTATTTAATAGAAGATGTATGTGTTTATTATAGGAATAATATTTTTGGCAAGTTGTTTTTCATGGGTACAAGTCAACTTTTTACTTCACCCCCAAATGCATTTTCCTCACAACTGTGGCGCCATCAACAGGAAACATTTCAGCTTTTCATTTTCATGTAAGACATTTTCCGGGGATGTATGTTACAACAAATACAGTGGAGTAATTATTTTTGTTTTTCTATTATAGTTACCTAAAACAATTTACGTATACATTTTATGTTAGCAACTTCATTTCTTTAGTCTTTGACAACATCTATTTTATATTCAGCTTCAATTTAATCAAAGGTGTGAAAAGTACTAACATTCTTTGGTTAAGTAACATAACAGATACCCGTCTATTAAAAGATAAGAATTACCTTTTTCTTTAAGGGAATTTTAGGAATATAGCTAATTTATTACTGTGGAATTACACATTAGATTAATTTGTCATAAAGCAAACCATGTTCTACACAACATAAAACAAATTCATAACATGCATTGTCAGGATAATATCCTAAGGATTTTAGGCTAAATATCAAAACATCTGACCCTCTATCTGGACTAGAGAAGTCAATTTAAACATAGCAGAACTATGGAGTTTAACTATGAAATGTGATGATAGGAACCACAAACAATATCATCTATTTACAGATAGTCAACAATTTTGGTCAGAAAAATTAGACCCAATAATCCAATGGATATATATACACTCATCACCGGCCACTTTATTAGGTACCCCATGCTAGTAACGGGTTGGACCCCCTTTTGCCTTCAGAACTGCCTCAATTCTTGGTGGCATAGATTCAACAAGGTGCTGGAAGCATTCCTAAGGGAGTTTGGTCCATATTGACATGATGGCATCACACAGTTGCCGCAGATTTGTCG